GAAAACGAAAAGTAAATTTTGCAGCAACTGATAATGCCTCAAATATGGTCAAAGCTATTAAAGATGTTTTGGAATGAAAACATTTAAATTGTTTTGCTCATACGTTAAATTTATTGGTGGAGGACGCACTTAAATGCTGTCGTGTACAAATAGATAAAATAAAAAGTCCTTTTTTCGACAATTCGGCAAAAAACACATTTCAAAAAAAGTACCTTATCTTCAGAAAGGCTTTTAAAGTATCAATTACAACATAACAAAGTTCCCAAACGGTCAATCCAAGACGTTGAAACTAGGTAGAACTTCACCTATTACATGTTAAAAAGAATGACCGAGTTAGAAGAGCCAATCCGTTCCACATTGGTATTAGTTAATACAGACTTAGACTTGGACCAAATCTAAATAAAGAACACTGGATTATTTGTTCTCAACTTTCCCAAATTTTACGGCCGTTTAAAGAAATAACAAGTACAATGAGTGGCCAAAAATACTTGAAGGGTAGTTCAGTGATTGTTATGGTACGCTGCCTGCAAGAATCTTGCAATAAAATTTTAGCAAACGGTAACCTTACATCCATAGTATCCGACGTAGTACAATTACTAATATCGGGTTTAGCAAAAAGATTTAGAGGGATAGAACAGAGTGGCACATTGTCATTATGTACATTTATGGATTCACGATTTAAAGTGCAGGGTTTTTTTCATAAAAATGAAGCTAAAAAAACAAAAGAAAGAGTTAAGAAAGCTGGTTACTTCTATAATTAAAGAACAAGAAGATTGTACTATTGAAAATCAACCAGTACAAGAAAAAGAACCGATAAAGATGACTTAAGTCCATGGTGTATTTTTGATTAATTAATTGTAGATGACTCATCTAAACGTACACCTGTATCGAGAGTCCATTACAACGGTGGAAAAACCATCGCCATGTATATCCTAACTTAACCACTATATTCATAAAGTATTGTAAATGTGAACACATGTTCAAAATCTGGTTTAATTTTAAATAAAAAAGGAACACAGTTAACAAGAAGTAAAGTAGAAAAACTTATGTTTTTAAATGTCAATTTAGACGATTCGCGATTTAATAATAACGTGTAATGTAAATGTAAGTACGATTTACTATTTGTATTGTTTAGTTTATTTTTCAAGTTATAATAAATATACTTTCATTAGTTTCTTTCACTTCAATAAATATACACATAAACGATAATAGCCATTATGTTTGTTTATGTAGGTACTCTCTTACTTGAAACTGCTTTTAAACAATCATAGTTACTTGTTTACGAAAATCGGTTTAGTTGCGTTAAGAGCATAGGCGGAAAATTTCAGGCCAATGTTTTTTAAATTCATTCATTTTTTTTTGGAATCCTGGGGAACCTAACAAATATTTTTGAAAAATTTAAATTCAGAATGAAAGATTACATTATTACCGAGGGCCTAAAATCCCTTAGAATAAAGAAAAAGTTTTTTGAATGAGATATTTGAAATTAAAAATCACACTCAATTTTCTCTTTTTTTTACCCCTGTAATTTATTTAAATAAACATTATAGAAGTTTTCAGGGACTTTCGGCCCTCGGTAATAATGTATTGTTTCATTCTGCGTTTAAATTTTTCAAAAATATGTATTAGTTTTCTCAGGATTCAAAAAAAATGAATGCATTTAAAAAGCATTGTCCCGAAATGTTGCGCCTACTGCTGTATGTTATTCGGTGCTTTGACCAGACAGATGTTGCCAAATAATTTTCTATGAAGATTTTTTAATGCGGCGTTATTGTATGCAGTTTATTATTTCATATTGAGAATAAGGCACAATGTGACTTTAAAATAAGCTTATTTTGATGTTTAGATTTTTAATTCGGAAATCGTACTTAAAATACGAAACATTAATAAATTTTATTTTTATAAAACGATTTCTGAAGTGTAAATCAAAATGTTATATTACACTTATTGTATAGTAAACTTGTGGCATATTCCCAGTAAAAAACGGTAAGCTGCCATTTAAGTCCATTTCGCCCAATTTGATTATCTTAGAACATTGTTCAAATGCTAAAAAGACAACAGGTCAAATAAAACCAATAAGTTTGGCAACGTTGAACTTCCCCTTTTTTTATTATATCCACGCATGCATGTTCGGCGATATAAAGGGCGGACCTAATATACCTCTCTGTTTTAAAACAGGTGTTTCTCACTCCATCTCATCACCGACCATAAACTTGTTTCCACACTGTATATATATATACATATATATATATATATATATATATATATATATATATATATATATATATATATATATATATATTCTTAGAAAGGGCTTTAGTGACTATGTGAGTAATATATACATATATATATATATATATATATATATATATATATATATATAATATATATATATATATATATATATATATATATATATTGGAGAAACGTCCAGAAATTTGTCCGGAAGATTAACATCTCACAAGAGTGATATTAATCTGAATAAAGTACAAGCCTGTGCATTAAGTGAACATTGTATTACAATGGGCCATACGCCTAACTATGATCAAACAGAAATATTGAGAAGGGAAAGAAATTACAACAAAAGACTGTTTCTAGAAATGTGTTTAATTAAAACTACACAAAACACCTTAAACAAAAGAGAAGACATTGAAAATCTTAGTGCTATATACAGTAATCTTCTTTTAAATAAAAGAATAACAATATAAAAGTTCTTAAAAGTTACGCATATGAAAGGGATTATTCCAAGTTCAAATGAGATAAAATTTATTTTTATTTGTATTTTTTCTTTCTTAAATACTTAGTAACATAAACTCTGTTGCTTGTTTAATAACTGTAATATTATATCAAAATTTGCAATGAAGGTTTGCATAAACATAGACACTTCCTCTGTCAAACTCACCTAACATAAATATAAAAAATAGAAGAGATATGGAAACCTTAGTAATAATTTTTGACAGAAATAAAAAGTAAATCAAATTTAATGTCATTATGTTAATGACATAATGACAAAATGTAAAATTTTGCTAATTTTAAAAGACAATTCTCACAAGGGTAAGCCTATTGAAGACATAAGAACTTCATTTTTCTAATGTAAATTTTTTATGTTAATTTTTAGTATGTTTTGAAAAAGAGTAAAATAAACTCGAAAGCTTAGCAAACCTAAAAGAGTTTTACTTAAAGGCCAATATATTGACTACTAAACCCAATATATCCGTATATATATATATAATATATATATATATATATATATAATATATATATATTATATATATATATATAATATTGTTATGATAAGTAAAATCGAGAAAAATATTGGTTTGATTAAAATATTTCAAAGTTCAAAAACATTAAAATAATTCAGATAAGTAGGATAATAACCAACAAACATTTCGAAGAAGGAAAGTTTTTAAATTTTTGGATTACCTGTATTAAACAAAATGTAAGCTATGCATAAATTATTTCTTTGTTATACTTGAGTGACCCGCATAATTTTAAGTGAAATCCAAAGACAATTGAACCGGGTTTTCCAAATACATTAATGCAGTGATTAAAGACAATAGAAGAGATTTTAGAAAGAGGTTTTTGTTAGTTTTTAAGAATGGTAGAAAAATATTATTTGTAAATAAGTTTTAGGAAATTTTATAATTATAGGTAAAAATTTGTTTGTTATCGAAATGAAAAAATGGGGGAATTGTGACGAGTTTTGATTGGCGGAGATTGAAAAAGGTGGGATAGGTATGTAGGAATGAAAGTTTAGCTAGATTTAGGAGAGAGAAAAGATAATTAGTTGGTTTTCCAAGTCTGTAAGACGAACAGTGATTGTTCTCTGGCGGTTCCCGAGAGGTAGCAAGCAGTAGTGTTGAATGTTAGTGAGTTTTTGTGGAGTTGGTGTATCTGACAGAAGCTGAAGCAGCAAAATATTGTAAGTCATATTTTTCTACTTATATTCCAAGAGTCACTGTTCAGGCCAACGAGAGATTCAGTTTATCATAAAGAGAAGATATTCCAAGAGTCATTTTACTCGGGCCAACGAGAGATTCAGTTTATCGAGAGGAGAAAGGCTATCATAATTTGAATGATTCGTGCTTTTGAAGGAGATCATTAAGGACGATATACTTGCAACAATTTGTTGTAAGATTGCTGATTACCTAGGGAGCGGTTGAGAGTAGATAATATAGTATACAAGGAACAAGGATTTGGACCACTCATCATCAGAGAGAGATATTTTGTTTTCTGCAGTTTTTCTTTTATTGATAACACAATTTTTACACTTAATTTAGAAAGGATATAAATATTTGATTAGGAGAGTTAGAATAATTTGGGATTTTGAGATTTTAATTAATATTGTTTGTACCATTAATTTTGAAGGTTCACGTACGTAGAACAAAATTCGGAGAATCATTATATGAGATTTTGTTTATTGAAAACATTTGAGTATGAATTATTTCATATATTTTATTTCAATATATAGTGTTATATCATATGTGTTTTTTATTATTCCGGTATTCTTTGGACCTTACCTTTCACATGTAATAGCATAAATATTGAAGCACGAATTTAACCCTGAGATAAGAGAATTAAAAAGTGTGATAGAGTCATAATCATATCATTTAAATAATTTTAATTAATTAATTAATTAATTAGCTAATAAATTGCTTGGCGCACCAAGACTTTAAATATCACAATAATATATATATACTGGTGTTAATATCTTCTTGGGCTCTTACTGGAATCTGGCAATTAAAAAAAAACTAACGAACACTCCTGAAAGATTTTCTGTTGTTTGTAGAAAACGGAATTTTCTCCTCAAAGTTTTCTGTAGAAGTACACGGCTAATGCTTAAAAAATAAAAAATATATATTTTACAGTTTATATAAAGTATGAACGATTTTATTTCAAGAGTTTTTTTTTCAAAGATTTTCGGAGAGTAAACTATACTACATGTACTACATTCATTCTGCGTGATTGATATTAACGTTACAATATACAAAAATTACCTGATGTTCATCGCTTGAGGTAATCAAATACGCTTGTATAGCGCTTGTTTCCAATTTCACTTCCGAGACCATCGCTTCTCTAAGTTTTATTAACCTGTCTGTAGAATTTAGCCTTCGTGCTGGTTGTACCGCATGGCCATGTTTAGCACATGCTTTACGTAGTTCCCCATTCTTTCGGTCCTCTTCCAATTGCGAGAATGTTGAGTCATATAAAGCATTGGCAGTGAAATCTGAAACAGTAATAAAATATATTCCACTATATTCTCAAAATATTGACAATCAGTTAAAAACTAAATTAAAAGTGATTTCTAATAAATAATGAATACACAAAAAGAAATTCCCATCTTTGTCGAATCGGTACCCGCTCGAGATGTATGGCTATTCCACGAATATACGACTGTTTTGGTTTACTGCGACAACGAATATTTTACTGTGCAAGTAGAAGTTTGAAGGTCAATTGGTCTAATCATTATTCCAATAAAAAGGATCTACTAGTATGACATCTAAACTAGAATTATTTCAGTTAAAATCTACAAATAAATACAATGAATTCTATGAAGCCAAATGTGTTCATCAGACATTTGGGTAATCTTTCCGTGAAATGTGCAAACACCAAAGAGGCGTGCCGGGTTTCTTTGATATAACACATTTTATTACTTTATTAGGTATTATAACTGTAAAAAAAAAGAAATATACTATTTTTAATATAAATGAAAAGAAATTGGCAGAACGATGGTTCACAAACCAGAAAAAGGATATAATATTTCACTTTGTTAGTTTTAAATATTTGTTTGCTTTGAGTTTATGTACTCTTAAAAGTTCCAAAAGTAACGGGTATAACCTACCGGCTATTGATAGTTAAAGTACCGAGTCGTTACAGATATTAAAAAGTAACGAAAACTTATTGTATACAGTTTCATGTATCGCCGACTGATTATGGCTGTGAATCTGATCATTGATGATAGTTTTAGAAGATTAAGAGAATAAGTGAATAAGTAAGTTTTTTTGTTTTTTTAATATTAATTGAATATTCGACTAAAATTTTTACACTATTTGATCACTTAAGTATTGTTACATTTCGTTTAAATCACATAATTCAAAAACCAACTTGTTTACAATGAAATAATTGAAATGAAAAAATAAACTCCATGATAGTAATTATATACTTCAAAATCTGAATTACAACTGTTTTATAAACTATTAACTTTATATTTATATCATGACTTCATATTTAAATCTAAGGTTTATATCTGTCGTAACAGTATTTTAAAAATGGGGAGAATTTACTATTGTACAATTCAGTACATTGGACCATTTAAATCGACACCTTAAAGCGAATTTAAAACAGTCGTATATTCGTAGAATGGAGTATAATAACCGATTCTTTGGTAAGACTCTGTGAGCCAAATTTGCTTTGTATTTTTTTTTATAACACGGCATTTAGTCCACACACTTACTAGATAAAATTAATATTCCATTAATAATCTTGCATGATTGATGTGAATAATTACAAATAAAAAAAAACGTTTCTATATTTACATTGGCAAATATTTAAAATTTTATGTTACTTTTTTTACCATAAGCTATGCAGTATGTGGGTATTCATGCTGGTTGTCTAATGCATTAAGGTACATAAGTGTACCAATTATGGACCACTCACCTAATATAGACCATCAAATTTCAAATTAAAAAAAGAAGAAAAACTTAGCGGATATTGTATATAGGTAGAGACCTATATAAAGACAAACCTTTTGAATGGCTATATTCATTAGTTTTGATCATTTCCAGTAATGGCATCGATGTGAACAGTTTATCCAATGGTGCCGGTATTAGTGTACATTTTACCACAGTAGTGTTGTTTGAAAATTAACAGGTAAGTTTTATTTAATCTTTGAATAACTTTACTTTTAGGGCTCTTTATTGTATATTAATAATTGATTTTCCATTGTGTGGCCGTGGTTCAAATTAGGGACCTAACATATGTGTTACAACCATCTATGGACACTGTGTTCATAATAGGTGCTCAGCGATAAATTATTATTAAGGAGTCATTCAGCTCTATATGATGTAAGGAATCTATAAATACAACTATAGAGCTGATATCATGATCAGTACCAATTTTGAACCACTATGTCCATAATTGGAACAATCATGGCCCATAATTGTTGTCATTATTTTACAGAATGACCACAAAACGTAGCCAATATAGCATTGAAAAGTGCGCTAGAAGACATCCAAAATAGTCTAGCATTTAGAGCAGCATCAAAAAAGTATGATATTCCCAGAGTTGCATTAATGAGAAAATTTAAAACAAAAATTGATGTTAAGGTGAAACCTGGACCCTTAACAGTGTTTACTGTCGACCAAGAAGAAATGCTGGTAAAATGGAGAAAATCTATGGCAAAATCAGGTTTTCCTATATCTAAAGAGTCTCTCCTATTTAGTGTTGAAAAACTTGCTCGAGAATGCAAGTGAAACTTCCAAATGGAACTATGCCGGAAAGAAAATAGTATGAATGTTTTATAAAAAGGCATCCAATGATAGTTAAAATAACTGATCTACATGTTCATGAGTACATGAAAACCAAAAAATTGGAACAAATTTTTCACGATCCAAGACGAGTTTTAAACAGTGATGAGATAACATTCTTCTTTAATCCCAAATTTGGTAAAGTTTTTGTGCAGAAAAAGAGAGCAAAAATATGTACATTGCAGCAGGAGCCGACGAAAAACCAAATTTGACAGTGTTATTGACATCAAACGCTGAATGTGAGCTCGTACCTCCTATGATTGTATATAGATATGTTCGGATGAAACAAGCAATAATTGGCAATATACCTCCGCAATGGGCAATAGGAAGGTCAGAGAATGGGTCAGTATTGTTTGCAGCAAAGAGAGGTGCCCAAAGAGTGGAACAATGCTACAACCATCCTTTTGCATAAAAAAGGAGATATAACGGACCTAGAAAATTATAGACCTATTAGCCTGTTGAACCACATATACAAGCTCTTCACTAGGGTAGTGACATCAAGATTGGAGAAAAAATTAGATTTCTACCAACCGAGAGAGCAGGCAGGATTCCGCTCAAATTATGGTACCAATGATCACCTCCACACAGTAAAGACACTCATTGAAAAATCTATAGAATATAACAAACCTCTTGTTCTCACTTTCATAGATTTTCATAAAGCGTTCGACACGATCGAATTAGACAGCCTTATAGAAGCAATGAATGGACAGCAGGATTGACCATAGGTATAGTGAGCTTATTTATAATATTTACAAAAATGCCACTATGACTGTTAAAATAGACAATAAAACCCGACCAATAAAAATAAATCGTGGAATAAGGCAAGGAGATACATTGTCGCCGAAACTATTCATAACGGCATTAGAATATGCCTTTAAGATGATCAATTGGGACCACAGAGGAGTAACGATAGACGGCGAAAAGCTTAACCATCTCCGTTTCGCAGATGACATTGTCCTTATCACAGATAATTTAGGAGAAGCTACAGATATGTTAAACTAATTGGATTTTGCATGTTCGAAGGTGGGCCTGAGAATGAACTTGACCAAAACTAAGTTTATGACAAATTTGGTCCCCAATAACCATTTGACTATTCAAGACAAAGTGGTAGAACTGGTGGAGAAATATACGTATTTGGGTCATGAAATGAGAATCAGCAGGGATAACCAAACATGTGAGATCCAAAGACGAATTACTTTAACATGGGCAGCCTTTGGAAAACTGCGAGACACACTTAGGGCCAACATACCAATCAGCCTCAAAAGAAAAGTGTTTGACCAATGCGTATTACCGGTCATGACCTATGGGGCGGAAACTATGACTTTAACCAAGACCACGGCTTCGAAACTGAGAGTGGCACAGAGACGAATGGAACGGTCTATGCTGGGAGTGACGTTGAGAAACCGAATAAGAAACGAAGTTCTGCGAAGAAGGACGAGTATTACTGATGTTGTGGAACGCATAGCGGAACTAAAATGGAACTGGGCAGGCCATGTAGCGAGAATGCACGATTCACGATGGACGAGCAAAATTACAAATTGGAGGCCAAGAGCAGACAAACGCAGTAGAGGAAGACCACCTACACGTTGGGCCGACGACATCAGGCGTATCACTAAAAATTGGCAACAAAGAGCACAAAATCGTGAGGAATGGAGGAGTTTAAGGGAGGCCTATGTCCAGTAGTGGACGTGATAAATAGAGGCTGGATGATGATGATGATCAGGTAACCCGTACCAGCTTCTTGTCTCTGAACCGTTAAGTTGCGAGATCTAGTATTTCTCTTTAGATATTACCTCTTTTTAAGACTTCTTCATTTGAACGTGATTCATGATCTACTCATGGAATTGTAAGTAATGTAATATTTTTATTAATCCAATTTATTGTCTTTATTCATTATCAAAGGTTCTATTTATAACACAAATTTATTAAAGTCTTTATTACTAAATTATTTCACAATATTTATTTATATTTATTTCCGCATACAATTATATTTTCGGACTCAATCCAACTCGATATTCAAAACTAATTAACTGTTTTTAACAAAATTCCCTCTTTAGATATAAAATACTATTAATGGAAAATGCCTTCGAATTCGGACGGTGCCCCTCTGGAAAAGGACGGAAGGCAAACCGGTTTTTCAGCTAGCGGCGAACTCACTAGAACGGAATAGAATTAGAAAGAATATATTTACAGTTATGAGTCATAATTATCGTAACAGTAAGAATCTTCTAAAACACCACATTTCTAAAACTTCCACACAATTCAGAGATTTTACTTTAGTTTACCAGGTCTTGATTCCGTACGTTAGGGTGGGCCATATATAATATTTTAGGAACCGGATTCAAAGGTTTAAAGGATTCTCACGCCAGAAGGATAGTTAATAAATTTACCGAAAGCAGCTTTAAACATTGATGTTCTTATCTTTATTTCTACGTCGCAGTCCCATTAGCACCAAGGTACTTAAAGTCGTCAACCCGGTCTATAGTTACATTATCTTCGTTCAACTACCCATCGACGTGGGGCTCTCTACTGATTGTCATCAACTTGGTCTTTGCAATGTTAATATAAGTTTCTACTCTCCTTCCACTCTATTAATTATCTTCATTATACTCATACAGTGCTTCTACTTATTAGTTTTTTCTTTTCGTAGGGTGGAAATTTCTAAAAACGTACCAGGTTAACCCATCCCTTGAGATGGTTG